GAGAGTACACATCCTTGCCTCATTCCCAATCTTAGGAAAATGGCATTTATTCTTTCACCAAGTATAATGCTAGATGTAGGGCTTTAGTTTTTTTTTTTTTTTTTTTTTTTTTTTTTTTTTTTTTTATCAGATTGAGGAAGTTTCCTTCCATTGCTGAACTTTTTTTCATCATAAATGGGTGAATTTGGACAAATTTTTTTTTATAACAACTGATATGATCATGTAGTTTTCCTTATTTTTTTCTTTATACAATGGATTACACTGACTAAATTTCAAATATTGAAGCAGGCTTGCATATCTGGAATAAATTCCACTTGGTTGTGGAAACAATTCAGATGTCTTTCCACAGTGAATGGGTTACTAGGCGGGGTTAAAACCATACAATGGAATACTATTTAGCAATAAAAAGGAACAAACTATTGATACAGCAACAACACTTACAGATCTAAAGGGCAAGATGCTGAGTGTAAAGTCAAAAAACCTGGTCAGATTTCAAAAGGTTACAAGTTGTATGATTCCACTGATATAACATCCTTAAACCTACATTACAGTGCAAAAAAAAAAAAAAAAAAAAAAAAAAAAAAAAAAAAAAAAAAAAAAAAAAAAAAAAAAGATCAGTGGATGCCAGTCATTAGGGTTAGATGAAGGTATAACTATTAAGGAGCAGCAAGAGACTTTCTTTGTGATGTTAAGTTCCATATCCTTTGTGTGGTAATAATAACATGATTCACAAATGTAACATTTTATAAACAGAAGAAAAAGAGCTTGTAAATATTGTGAAATCCAAATAAGGTCAGTATCTGAGTTAATTGTGTTGCTGCATGCTGCAGGGTCAATTTTCTGGTTTGATAATAACTGCAGTTAGATAATAGGAAGAAGCTGGCACATGGGAACTCCCATATATTTTTGTAACTTCTTGTGAGTCAAAGTATTATAAAATAAAACATTATTTAAAAAAAAAAACAGGTAGAAAAAAAAAAGAAAAAAAGAGGGACATACCCCTTGAAAGAGGAGTCAAGGAAGGCTTTGTTCTATACAGAGGGAACAAGTATCAAGTGTGTAGAAAAAGAAAGCATTAACAACTCCATGGAATTTAAATGTGGCTAAATTGAGAAATCTAGCTTTCTGACTACCATTGTAGTTCAGGAGTCAGGTGATGGTGGCGGCAATGAAAATGGAGAAGAACTGACATGAAATGTATAAAGCAGCATAAAATAAATGGAACACGGTTATGGTTTAAAAGACAGAAAATATCCATCAGATTGGGTGATACAGAACCAACCTATTTCAAAGGAAATGGTGGGGGGTGGGGAATGTCAGACTGGAGCAATTTAAAGAATGGGGTGGCAGGGGGACAGATACAAGTTTAGAAAACTGAAGGACTCTGGCTGTAAAAAAACAAAAACAAAAACAGAAATGGGTTTTGTAGCTAGAGGAGGACTGTGAAAAGGAGGGGAGATATCTTAAAAAGTAACGAAATGGGTGTATTTGAGTGTTAACAGGAAGAACCTAGTTGAAATGAAGGAGAAGAGATAATAAAGAAAAGAAACAACTTAAGGACAAGTGTGAATAAAAGAGATGATGTGATGTTTTGGGGAAGGCAGGATGCTCTATGGTAGAAGGGAATATGGCAATTCATGAAACTGAGGTAAGGCTGAAGTATTAAAAATAAGGGAGACAGAGGTGGGAAATAGTTCAGAAAAGGGTAGGTCTACTTCTACTGTAAGAGAAAAAGAGGTGAAGATGGGTACAAGAATGTCTGATACAGGGTACATTTTTATCCAGTGACTTCTCTTTTTCTCTGTGAAATAGTAAGAAAGCTCTATTAGTTTGCTAGGGGTGCCTTAACAAAGTACACAGAGAACTGATGTCTTAAACAACAGAAATTTATTTTATCATAGTTCTAAAGGCCAGAAGTCCAAGATCAAGGTGTCAGGAGAGTTGATTTCTTCTGTGGAATCACTCCTTGGCTTGTAGATGGGCATCTTCTCTTTGTCTTCCCACGGTCCTTCCTCTGTGTGTCTGTGTCCTAATCTCCTCTTCTAAAGGTATCAATCAATACTGGATTACGGCCCACTCATTATGACCTAACTGGCTCTCTCCAAATAAAATCACATTCGGAGGTACTGGGGGTTAGGGTTAGGACTTCAACATAGGAGTACTGGGGGGACACAATTCAGTCTGCAACAAAAGGTTGCTTTGTCAAGAGTGCGAAGGGAGATAGGATACATCAGAGGTTCAAAGTAAAAGGCTTGAAATAGTTCTAAATAGTCTTAAATACTTCTCACAATGTTACATGAAGTAATGGCTTAAATGGTCAATTGAGTTTTAATTTCAATTTAATTCAAAATGAAATTATGACTTAAAAAAAGAAATTATGACTATTATTCCTCTAGAAAATTGTCTTACAAGTCAGAAAATCTGAATTCTAATACCTGCTCTGTTAATAAGCAATGTTTCTTGGCTATATCTTTTAATTTTGTCACTCTAAAATAGGAAGAACATTTCACAGAAAGGGCATATGAGTACACTAGAAAGAACACTGACTTGGGAACTCCTAACATCCTAGTCCTGCTCTGTCACAGAAGGGCTTAATTTCTCAGAACCTCGCTCAATTCCTCATCTTAAAATGGAGTATAACTAAATCATCTTTCAAGTCCCTTCTAAAATCCTACAGTTCTATGAAATGAAGTAAAACGAAGTTATTTGAGAATAAATGTGGCACTGGAAAAAAAAAGATTCTTTGAAATATTTACCAATAAAAATTATATGCTCCCAGCATACTGAACATTAGTCTTCCAATTCTATCTTTTCTACATCCTCCTCTGCTCCCAAGTCAATACTATCCTATAAAGTTGGCTTAAACAGTGTGTGCTGAACTGCAACAAAATATTACTTCTTTTGTTATATATGCTTCTCTACCTTAAATCATTACATTATGAAACACCATTCCCAGAATGTCTAAAATAAGAGTTTTGCATATTAAAAAAAAAAGCTGAATGATGGATATAGTAGTCAGAAATATGCATGGCAAAAGTAACAGAAAATCCAAACATCTAAACAGAGTTTATTTTTCTCATGTAGTAAGTGTAGAGGTTGGCAAGTGTTCATGTTGGTTCAGGTGTTCAACATGCCATCAGGGACCCAGGCTCTCCCTAATCTTTCTACAAAACCATCTTTGAAAGGTAGCTTTCATACTCCTATTTATTGTTTCATGGTTGTAAGATGGCTGTTTTATCTCCAACCATGTTGTTGACACTCATGTCCTGAAGGAAGAGAAAGAGGCAAAAAGCCTTACTTCACAATGCTTTGACTTTTTAATTTGAAAGGAAGCCCTTCTCAACAGGCTTCTGTCCATTTTCTTAGCCTTAAATAGGTCACATGCTCACACTTTAGATATCTACACTTCCACTACTCTGATGGCCATGAGTCACATGCAATTATTTAAATTTAATTTAAATTAAAAATTCAATTTCTCAGTTCTACTGGCCATATTTCAAGTGCTCAATAGCCACATACAGCAAGTAGCTACCAAACTGGACAGTAGAAATACAGAATATTTCCTTCACTGCAAAAAATTCTTCCTTGGCATATCACAGACCATAAGAAATGAAACCACTTCTGTTTAAGATCATTCATAAGGTTAAGGTCCTTATCTCCCAGAAGAACAGGGATCTCTGCTCCTACCTGAACAATGTAAGATACTGTTAACAAGGAAAAGGTGGCAGTAAAAGCAGTTGGCAAACATCTGCCACGATGGGATTATCTGTACATTTAAACTGAGGTTTATAGATTATTACACATCAATAATGTATTTCATAAAAAATTCTTGACAAGAAGGTATTAAAATTAGAAAAATAAAGTGAAACTTAGGCTGACAGTTATAAAAGGCACTAACTTACACAAGTATAATTGCTAAAGTAAATACTACTCTAGTGACTAGCAGGAGAGAAAGAAAGGTAATGGAATAATATACGGGCACTACTTTCTTTATAGGAAACACATCTTAAATGGCTGATTATGTTGAAAATGCAGTTACTAAATTTATGGGCAAAAAACACTGTATCTTGTGATAACAAAGATTAGTTGATAAGAATTGCCTTTATATGAGGAGAGTTATTTCACATGTGCTCACTTCTTATGAAAGAATAAAATGAAAAAGACTGCAAAATAAAAGAATTAGACCAGATATGGAGAATAATTTACTAACAGAATTTTCAAAAAATTTAAAAAACTGATGTTGACAATAATTTTCTTCCTAAAGACTTCCAAGTTGTCAATTCCTCTATGAACCCCATTTGCCTAAATCTAACAATGACAAGTATGGAAGAGCTTCTGTATACAATTGGTAAACTATGTATTTATATTTATATATGTAATTATACATGTATATGATACATACAAAATGTAACGCATATATGTAAAATGCAAGCTACTACTAATAATACATGCCTTGAATGACCAATTGCCTATTTTAAAAACAGGTGTCTGAATAGTGTTTAACTCTCAAAGTTCTTTCTATTCTATTGAAACATGCAAAATATTGTTGAAGCATATGATTGTTTATCATGAAAGGAGAAAAAGGAAAAAAAATTCTAATTATTACTAAGAAGGTAAAGAAATATCAGAAATAGAAATTTTTCTCCTGAAGACAGTTAAGATTTTCTTAGACACTTTAGATTTTCTTTTCCTGCCACTGAAACCCTTTTAATCCCTATTCTCTATGATCTCTTAATATTCTTTTATGCAATTTATACTTGAAAGTTCAAAAAATGTAACTTTCATAAAGGTTAAATTTGAGTATTATAGTATACATGAACCTTAAAGCTTTTTATAGGTAAAAATCTCAATTATGTCCTACGGTAAAACAAAAATTTTACAAAGAGATATGACTGAACTTTGGAGAATGACATATAAAACAAAAATTTTACAAAGAGATATGACTGAACTTTGGAGAACAACATATTTTAAGCAATATTTATCAGAATAACATAGCACATAAAACAAGCCCACCGGAATGCACAGCAAAATCCAACTTGACACTAGAAAGAGAATCAAAATAACGTGCAAGCATTTTCCTTGTCAGCTGTGAATGCTATGTATTTCTTATCACAAATAAAAAGAATTTAACTAGAAACTGAGTTCTAAAACAACATATTCTCTGAGTTTAACAAAAAGAATCTAGAATCTTCATATGCAAGTTTAATAAATCATCATAATTTATTTGTGAGATTTCTACATCAGATTGTGGCTTAAAAGCACTTATATTATGTGTGATATGAAGAGAATGATGTACAATCAATATAAATCTTGTTAAATCTCTCTTCCATGGACTTTCTCCATCTTCCTGCTTAGCAATAAAAGGCATTTTTAGGTTTATATAAACATTCTTTACAACTGCCCCCTTAACAAAAAATCACTATATAAATAGCACTAGGCATTTAGTAAATAAGTCACAGGCCAGTAAGTTCAATTGTGCAGTTGTGAAATGTAATGTGAAAGAGTTTGAAACCTTAAGACTGAGTGATCTGCAGCGTTTCCAACATGTCTTCGACTGCCTTAAGAGAGTATTTGGTTTCCTTCTTACTTCGACCTGCAAACTAATTTTTAAAAAAATGCAATTAGGCTCAATTTCATGGCAGGTTCAAAATCACAATCTTACCTTCACTTTGCTAATGAGAGTTAACGTTATCTATTTTATCACTAGCGTGAAATCAAATATCTTTTCTCCAATAAAACAAAATTGGGGTTTTATTTTTTGCTTTTATTTCCCTTACCTCAGGAGACAGATCGAGAAAAATGTTGCTATGGCCAATGTCAGAGAAATTACTGCCTATGCTCCCTTCTAGGGTTTTTATGATTTCAGGTCTCACATTTAGGTCTTTAATGCATTGAGTTTATTTTTGTATATGGTGTAAGAAAATGGTCCAATTTCATTCTTTTACATGTAGCTGTCCAGTTTTCCTAGCACCTTTGTTGAAGGGATTACCCTTTATCCACTGCATATTCTTGCCTCTTTCATTGAAGATAAATTCATCATATAATCGTGGGTTTGTTTCTGGGCTTTTCATCCTGTTCCACTGATCTATGTCTCTATTTTTGTGCCAGTACCATATTGTTTTGATTATTATAGCTCTGTAGTATAACTTGAAATCTGGAATTGGGACACCTCTAGCTTTGTTATTCAAGATAGCTATTCAGGGTCTTTTGTGCTTCCATACAAATTTAGGATTATTTGTTCTAGTTCTGTGAAAAATGCTTTTGGTATTTTGATAGGGATTGCATTAAGTCTGCAGACTGTTGTCTTTAATTTCTTTCATCAATTTGTGAAGTCCAATTTCCTCAAAATTTAGACTTTACAGACATTTTCATTAAGTTTCATCTTTAGTTGAAGTGTATTAAGAATTCACTGCAAAATTGACTGATTTAAGTGTTTATGCAGTGTGATAACCTATAAAACATACATTTCAAAACTAACCTTTCCAGACAAGAAAACTTTTATGAAATAAAAAGCATAATTTATAAGTAAAAAATGTGAACCATTTCTACTTGTCAGCCCTCTAAACAGATATTTACAATTTCAACAAAAGTAAAATGTAAATGTAAAGTAATTTCTATTAAATATTTTAAAGTTGCAAGATATCTCTAAAATTATTTAAAATAAGTCACAATCTTTAAAAAAATTTTGGAATTATTAGTTGATTAGATGGTATGTTTCAGCAGCAAAGAGCTGTCAAAACTCTATGCTACATATTAAAATGATGCAAACGTTTTAAAATATGCATTTCTAGTTTGTGAAGTTGTAATTTACTTTATAAAACCATTGGATTTCATAATGAAAACAAAATACAATGCATTAAAAATAGTATCTTTGCACACTTAAAAGCAAATTCATGGCATATTAAATTCAATATAGTGCACATAATCAGTGAGGGAAACACTGCTGAATACCCCATGCTGATTTCAAAATGAGTTTTCTAACTACACTGACAATTCTCATCATTTATCAGTTTGACTGACTACTACAGATTTACTACAGAAGTGGTCCTTATGGGGTAAGGGAAGGTTTATTGTATCTATATTACTCATTCCCCCTGGTTAAAATATTGATTGACCTCTGCTATTAGCAAAATATAATATTTTCAAATTAACATTCAAGCATTCAATACATTTTCAAATGACTGATCTTCCCTAAAAATACCAATGCTGTCTTAAGCATTTAACACTTGATTTATGATGTGCTCCTTCTCTTTTGTAATTAACTTAATTTGGCAAACTTCTCATGTCCTGTTAAGAAAGATTAAGTGATTGAGTACAGGTAAAATCACAGAAGCAATAGAGTTCAGAAATTGGTAACCTGCTTCTGACCTCACTGGCTGCAGGTTAACATTATGATTCTCCTACTTCCTAAACCATTAGTTTCTGTGGTTGAATCTTGATTTGATAGAGTAAATAAAGGGGATTTCTAGAAGAAATGCCAGGGAAAAAGAAAAGCTCCTCATAAGAATCAAGATTACTTTACCTTTCATATGACATTACTAATTTAAGGAATTCAAATGTTAAGTATACAACTCATAATTACAAAATATGGTAACAGCAACACATTTAAAACTCTGCCTTTTCATAATTTCCCATGGTGACTAAAGGATGTAGGGTGTGTCATTACTCCTATAATCCAGTTGATAAATTCACTTTCGCAAGGACTTACCAAGAACAGAAAGCCTTTTATTTTACTACTGCCTATCCAAAGTAAACAGGAATGGCCCTAATCAGATACTTGAAGGCCTAATTCTAAGAAAAAGCTTTGATGGGTTGGAGAAAAATAGGATACCACGTAGTAACATTCACTCCAATTTGTTAATTAGCAAAATAGAAATGAAAAATTTCTGTAGAGCTGAAGTCATGACCAGTATTTTAAAATACAGAACTTTTCTTGACTTGTACTCAAACATAATAAGAGTAAATATATATTTGCGATTTTTTAAATTAGCTAATTTTAAAAATCACCTAAAGATTGTGTGTCAATACTACTGACAACCAGTGCAATTTAGAATAAACCAAACTTATTTGTGTCAGAACAAATAAAAAGAAAGTTGGAAATATAAATCTATCACTTCAAATTTTGCCTGACATGCAATTATTTTGTCTATTCCAGAATTATATGGCAATTTAACTGATTAAGCCGGAATCCTATTTTTCCCTCAAATCATGATTTAATTTTCCATTTCCCAAAAGGATAGTAACAGAATCACCTCTGCAATCATAAATAACATATGGATTGCTAGCACAGACAAATTTAACAGTGTACCAAAGAAGCATTTATCTGGAAAATTATTGTGAGTAGGTTCACATTAAAGTTTTTCATGAGCATTAATCAAACTTGCCTGCCTGTACTGAACATGCTAAACCAATTACCTAATTGAAGAGTAAGTAGTAGCCATATTCTGTTTCATTATTAAGTAGAAAGAAAGAAGGAAAAGCAGTTCTTAAAATCTCATTTTCTCTAATTTATAAATGCCTAGAAAAACATTACAATAAGGAGTATTTATTGTATACTCTATACTTGTTTATATGCCGAGACATGAGTCATAAAATTCTCAATTAGATCCCAGAGATTTATCTAATTACTAAAATGTCAATCTCTGAAAGTTATACTTTCCACATTAATCACAAATTCTGCATTTTTGTTTTCATACAGTTAGATTTTGCTTAAATAAACTCTGTTTTCATAATACCCTATGATCTTAAAGATAACTCACCAGAAAGCACATTCAAATCATAAAAACTGATTTATCAAATTCAAAGGTCAATAATTTATCCACTATGACAACTGGGATAAATTGGGCTAAACTTTACCTTTACATAATTTGTGGAAAATAATATGGGTGGACAAAGTAATAGGATAAATAAATTGGAACACTGGATGGATAAATCTCAGAAACCTTATACTGAGTGAAACAAGCCAGGCACAAAAGAGTATGTAACCTATGATCTCATTTATATAAAGTTCTAGTACAGGCAAAACCAATTTATAGTGATAAAAATCAAATCAGTGCTTGTCTGCAGTGTCAAGTGGGGCTGACTGCAAAGTGGCGGAAGGGACTTTCTCGGGTGATGGAAATCTTGAATGGGGTGCTGGTGGGAAGGGAATATACATTTGTCTAAACTCAATCGTACATTTGAAATGTGCGCACATTACTGTGTATAAGTCATACCTTAATAAATCAGATAAAAAGAAAAAGACAAAATAAATGAAAACAGAAGGCGGGGACCTTGGGCTTATACAACCGTGTAATAAAATGCCAAATGACCACATAGTTATCTTCCCATTAACAGGTGAAGTATTACATCCCCTGGATCTGGGTTGAGCATGTGACTTGCATTGCAATGGAAAATTAGCAATATATGACATAAATAGAGACTCAAAAAACCCTTGCGCACTGGAGTTTGGCTGTTTGCTCCTCATGAAACCCTGAGACGACCACACGAACAAGTCCAAGTTAGTCTGCCAAATGAGAAACACGAGGCCTAGCACTTCCAGCTGACAGACAGCAAGCCAACAGTCAGATAAATTTAAGTGAGGCCATCAACCACTGGCACAGCACAGAAATATAAATAAGCCCAGTCGAGACAAGCAGTATTACTCAACTGAGCCCAAGCTAAACAGCCTACCTATAGAATCGTAAGCAAATAAATTAGTCAAATCACTAAGTTAGCAAAAGGTAATGGATACAAATATTTACAGAATTTGATTCACAGAAAGAACCCAGAACCTCTGCAGAAAAAGCAAAAAATATGCAAGCTTTAAAACCACCAAGAGATTTTATTTAAAGCCTGTTACTAGTATCTAGAGGCAAATAAATTTTGCATGATGGGTATGATTCCTAGCTGAGGAGTATTGGAAGTTGCTATACAGAAATCTGACATGAGGAACTGAGAAATTTGTTATCTTTCCTGCACTGGTATCTAAAATGATAGAAACTGGCAAAAGTTCTTTTTTCTATCCTTTCCTACAGTCAAGAGAAGGCAAATCATGTCTTCAGTAAAGATCTGTAAAATATCTCTGGGGACTGTGGAGTTTCTGATGCAAAACTCAAATACTGAAGAGTACCAGTGACACTCTTAGAGCTCTTTCCAAAGAACACTGAGACTTTATACGTCTATAAATAGAATGGAATTAGTGAGGCAAAATTAAAAAAGAAAAAAAAAAGAATGGCAGGAAGAGTAAATATTACTAAAGAACAGGGTTTGTTTCTATGAACAATGGCTTAAAATACTGAAATGATAGATTCATGTCCAGTGATGCATCTCATAAGGCAGAGAAAAGCATGCTTGTCTGGTCTTGTATTACTGAAGAGACAGGAAGAAAGAAAAAACAAAAAACAAAATAAAACTCTGAACGTAGTTACTATTTAGAGCTAAAGCTCTGAACTGAACTGAAAAGAGACACAAGTGAGGGTAAGCTATCAACTATTCACATGAGAAAATAATTAAGAAGACAGTGAAAAACTGTATTTATACCTTCAGATACACTTATACCTGACATTTCTTTATAGAGGAGTATACATACAAAACAGCTGTCATTAATAAGCTATGTCACCTCGGGAAAGTTAATCTTTCCATGCTTTAACTTCTTCATTTTTAGAACAGGCAAAGTACCTAGCTTGTAACAAATTGTCTGTAAATATTTGCTCTTGTAGCTATTATTGTTGTTATAATTGCAATGAATACAGCAGGCATCATAAAGAAAACTTGGAGGATGTGATTAGTAAATACAACGTAATGAGGATTAGTGTGACTTGGTGAATACTATTTATTAACTCCTTTAATCCTCAGAAAACTTCAATTGTGTCCATTTTGCAGACGAAAAGCTAAGCCCAGTGATAGTATACAACTTATCCAAAGCCACATAAATAACAAATGTCAACGCCAAACTTTGAAAACAACAATATGGATCTAGCATTTGTGTTCTTCTCTTAACTCCTACATGGTACTAGCATCCACAGAATGGGACTCATGACCAAATACAGAGATGGACAGAAACTCTCTGGATACCTACACGAGAGGAAATATACCCTTATTTCACATCATATATAGAGATCAATTCAAAATGGACTGTGGATCTAAATACAAAATGTAGAAGAAAAAAACCTCTAAAGACACACAAAATTATCTTTATGACTATGAGTAGCAACTGATTTTTTTTTTAATTTTTTTTTTAACATTTATTTATTTTTGAGACAGAGAGAGACAGAGCATGAACAGGGGAGGAGCAGAGAGAGAGGGAGACACAGAATCTGAAACGGGCTCCAGGCTCTGAGCTGTCAGCACAGAGCCCGACGCGGGGCTCGAACTCACAGACCGTGAGATCATGACCTGAGCCGAAGTCGGACGCTTAACCGACCAAGCCACCCAGGTGCCCCAGCAACTGATTTCTTAAACAAAACACAAAAAGCACAAACGACAAAAGAAAATAAACTTATTTAACATCAGAACTTTTATTCATCAAAATCATTTGAGATAGCAAGTAAAGAATTGAAGAAATTTGCTACACATACAACAAACAAAAAGCTCATAATAAGAAAACTGTTCCAAAAAAACAAAATAAAAAGTCATAAATCAATGAAAAAGCTAGACTTCATGAAAGAGGATATCCAAATGGCCAATAAACATATGAAAAAGTGTTCAATCTCACTGGTCATCAGGGAGATGCAAAATGAAACCATGAGATATGACTATACATATACCAGAATGGCTATAATTATAAAAACTGACAGCACCAAGTATTGGCAAGATGTGGAACTATAAGAACTGCCAAACACTGCTGGTGGGACTATAAACAACTAATTTGGAAAACAACTTATGACTCAGTATTTCCACTCAGAGGTATATACCCACCAGAAGTACATGTATACCAAAAGACTGTGCAGGGATATTCAGTGCAATATTATTCATAATAGCCCTAAACAGAAAATAACCCAAATGCCTATCAATAGCTAACTAAATTGTAACATGTGCATACAATAAACAATACAATGAAAATGAATGAACTACAGACATAAAGAGGGATAATGTCATAAACATAATAGTGAAATAGGCTACACAAAAATGATTATGTACTATATGATTCCAGAAAGTTCAAAAACAAGCCAAAAGAATGGGATTATAAATCAACACTCCTGAGGTTGATAGGAGCAGAAATTAAGAGGATATACTATGAGGGCTCTGGGTGCCCTGGGAAACAAGAAATGTTTCCATTTCTTGACCTGGATACATTTACCTTGTATAATTTGTTGAAATGTACATTTATGACTTGGGTTCTTTTCTCTATGTATGTTATAATAAAAATTGGTTTTAAAAATGTAATCATGCCATGTCAAAAAAAAAAGCACTCTGAGCAGCTAGTTGTTTCTCAAAAATATCTTAAAAACAAGGATGTAGTTTGCATGCCACCAGTTTTATATTATCAAAGTCTTATCTTTAAATACACACACACACACACACACACACACACACTCAAGGCCTACTACTATGTGTGGAACCCATTATGATCTGTGCTATCTCAAACTAACTGCATTTGAAGAAGCACAGTCTAGCTAGTATTTATAAATATTCTGAATTACAATATGCCAACAGAACTAATAACCTCTATTATATATAAGTACACAAAAGTAACTTTAAATAATGTGATCATGGGGGCACTGAATTTTTTAATCTCCCCAACCTTCTCCAACCAGGAGTATAAAAACAAAACAAAAAAAAAAAAACAACACCAAAACCAAAATAATAGGAAACAAGCCCAGAGAGAACTACCTTCAAAACAACTACATTACAGGCAATCTTCAAAAAAAAACCCCTATAATATGGTTTTATTATCAACAGTGACAAGACCTACAAAAGATCAAAAGCTGTATGGTAGGAGCATGGTATGTATGTATGATAGGTATGGACAACTTACTACTACTCTACAAGCCACACAAATGAAAAAAGTATGAATTGGCTGAATCCGCAAGTGGCCTACAAAACTAGGGCAGTCTCAAAGGCTCCAAATCAAAGATAGGTCTTAAAAGCTGCATGCAAATGTGACATTAAACAAGTCTAACAGTCTACAACCTCAAAATCTCTGAAATACCCAGCAAACATCCTCTTCTAGGAGGGAAAAAACCTCACACTGAAGGATAATCACCAGAAACTAAAACTGAATTGAACAGGGCAGAAACAATAGGGGTAAGAGGGAGAGAAGGTACAGATAAAGGGGAAGGGTGGGGGTGATGAGGAAGGCAGTGATGCCTACAGGCAACAAATCCCAGAAAGAATGAATGAAAGGAAGAAACCTAACAACAAAATGCAACATTTAAAGCTAAGAGCAACAACTCAAAATTCAAGATCTACACAGCTCAAGGGCTGAAGCCAGAAAATCTTTCTCAATCAGACCTAGTTCTAAGAAAGACTGCATATACACAGAGGTCATATTTAAGTTCTCTGTAACAAAGAGGAAGCCATAAAAAGACGAGCTGGGAGAGTTATTATATCCTAGCTCTGACATTCTCACTCCACAAAAACCTCCTCCTAATAGAAATTATCTGATTTAACAAGAAAGAAAGAAAGAAAAAAAAAGAATACAGACTAACTTCATAAAAAAGCACTACAGAGGAAAAAAAAGAAAATACCAAAAATGACAGAAAAGGATTTGAAAGAAAATGAATGATACAAAAAGGTAGTGAGAAAGGAAATCCAATAAACTTACATCCTGGAAAAAAAAACTTTAGTAATTAAACAGAAAAATTATTTAACACTATAATTCTAAAAGCAACTCCTCAAATTAAGAGGATTAAATCCACATACTCAATGGGTCTACTGTGCATTTGGGAAAACTGACCCAATAATAATCAATAAAACATACCGTAGTAAAACTACTGGATTTTAATGATAAAGGAAAAATTCCTTTGGACATCCAGACAAAAAATCTAAGTCACTTAGGGAAAGAAAATCAGTATGTATCAGACTTCTTGATAGCAATATTTTATCCTAAAACACAATGAAACAATATTTTTAAGATACTTAAGCCAAGTAGATACGTGAGCCAAAGGTTGTATAAAAAGCCCAACTATCCTTCAAATATAAAGACTACTGAGAGATAAGTTTATAAACATGCAAGATGTAAAAAGGTATGTTTTCCCATGAACCCTTCCTGGAGAATCTCATAGAGACAGCTTCAGAAAACTAAAAAAAGAGAAGTTTCAGATAAGCTCTGACAAGTAAGCAAAGCACAAAACCTTTGTTATATAATCTGGTTAGTTTACCTTTAGGCTTTTCTTCCTCCCTTTTAATGACTTGAGATACCTCTAATTAATAATACACTCAACTCACATACCCAATCTGCTTCTGAAATATATTATGCAATTTGTTTACCTTTCCTGAATTTTTAGAATTACTTTTTATTTGCCAAATGCCAAACTACTGAAATTTCCAGATGGTAAGGCTAATTATAGGATCAAAATAGTAATGGACTTCTTTTGTAGAACTGTATTGTTTTTTTTGTTTTTTTTTAATAGGCTTCACGCCCAGCACAGAGCCCAATGTGGGGCTTGAACTCACAAACATGAGATCAAGACCTGAGCTGAGATCAAGAGTCAGACGCTTAACCAACTGAGCCACCCAGTTGCCCCAGTAAGACTTTTTTTTGAAGAAAGAAAAAGAACAAGTGATCCTACAAGTTAATTCTACAGAGTTAAAACACATCTGATTAAGACCCAAAGGCATAAAAGTTCAATGACAGACATGTGGCTTTGTAGTCTGCTGAAACAAAAACAAGTAAGAAATACATTAACTGACCTATAATGAATGACAACATAAAATGATCAATACTGACCTGATAAGCTCTGTTTATTTGACTAGCTGCCCAACTAGCATATTTCATGTTGTCCTTTTTTGTTTTTGCACTTGCTTTTGGATTAGAAGCAATATGACTTGCCGACTAAAAACAAAAAAGAAACATCAAAAAATTCCTTTCTTCTAGCCAAGATAATCAAAAAAACCATGTAAAGGTCATAATTGCATTGGGATAACAAAGAGTTTTTTAAAACTGTACCAAAACAAGTTTAAAAATAAAAGTAAACTGGAATAGAGTTTTCAAAAATGAAAAAATATTTTTAAATATAGAATAAGGTAACAAAAAAAAGAATGAATATCTTACATAATATCTAATTTATTTTATTAGCTGTCTACCACAACTCATAAAGGTAAAATTAAATACTTAAGTATTGTAGAATATCACTTAAATCACTTAAATATTGTAGGAAGATTGCTGGTCATTATTATTATGTTATTAAGTTATTATTTCTAGTTATTTATCACAGTATTACTTCAGCTATATCCTATGTCAGAATTACAGAATTATTGAATACTCGTAAGAAGGAATCTCAAAAATAATTTAGTCCAACTTCCTACATTAACAGGTGAAAAAAACTTAGGAGTGATGTGACTTGACCAAAGCAAGTTAATGAAAGCCTTACAAAAAGAAAGAGATCTTCATTTCCAATCTACTTCTCTTTTCACTACATCCAGAGTTTCCAAACTATGTTCCACAGCACCAGTTTAAATCACTGCAATTTGATCCATCCTAATCTAGGATCCATGAAAGAATATGTACACCCCCAAAATTATATGCTTACTTTTAAGTATTTATATACACATTTCTTGGGAGATCTTTTATATTATGCTTAAATATGTCTTAATCTTATGAGGCTCTGTCCATGTTATTAAAAACAAATTAAGCCTTTCTTTCATACTTAGCCTGTGTTATAGGCTCTTTCCCTCTATCACCTCCTCTATCAATCAGGAATTTATATGCCAAAATCTTATATTTACACCTTTATGTCTTTCATGTCACCTTTTTTGGTATGAATTTCAGCAAACAGAGCAATTAAAAGAAGGCCTCTGGACTCAACTGCTTGAGCTGATATCCCAGTTCAATCACTCAGTAGGTCTGTAACTATCCTTCCACAAATTAATTAGATCTCTCTGAATCTTAGTTTCACTTTGTGTGAAACGGTGGTAATAACAGTATCTTCTCAAAAAGGTGATGTGAAGATTCAATGATTTAAATTTTAAAAAGAGCTCAAAAAAATGCTTAGCACATAAAGTGTTATGTGTAAACTATTAATAATCTATTGTTATATATATGTTTATTAGTATTTCATTTATTTGGTAAAAAGAGTCACCGTTACTATATTGTATGTCCAAGCCACTACAATTGGCACTGGTAGATCCAAAAAAAATTTCTTGAAATTCCTCTGAACTGTTTTCTAATTATATTTTGTCATTCTTCTCCTGAAAATTATTTCATTTATGTTTCTTCCTGCCTCCATCTCTGCAACGAATTCTCTTTCACTAAGCCTTAACAAGAGATTCATCCAAAAGTCCATGAAAAGACCAGGATAAATTAAAATTTCAAAGAACTAGCTTATTAAAAAAAAAAAAAGTTTTCTGATTGTAGAGAGAGGGGCTCATTTTATGTATATTTTAAAGCTCAGCAAATTCTTCCTCTATTTCCCATAGCCCTTGTTAATTGACTTTTCTAAGCTTGTCATCTGGCATACATAAACCATAGAAATATTTAATTACATGCCTCCCACAATTTCCAAGCTCTTCTTCTGTACCATAGAAGAAGTTTATATTTGACAATAGAGATTTTATTTTCTAATGTCTGTTACTCCATAATTTAAAAATATGTCATAAAATTTAAGGTAAGAAAAACAAAAATGATGGACATAAACCCAAGAATATCAAAACAATTAAGATATATACAATATGGTTTTGTATCTGTTACTATTTAATAAGGGCAGACTTAAATTCTGATAAAAGATTTTTTAAAATAAAATGTCAAATATCCAGGATATATTAACTTTCAAAAATAAAACTGCCTTACAACCTATTGCTCATATTTAACTAGAGGGGAAAAAATATGCTATCAACAAAACACAAAAAACAAGACAGAAATGAATGGATGGGATAGACTTAATGGGTTTAAATGACAGAATTCAGAAAATAACATTAAACATGCACCTCTACTCACCATGTAAAGCCCAAACAAAGCTCTCATATTTCTGTTGTTCAGTTTCAATGCCTGTGCAAAATACTTTCGTGAAAGTTCGAGGTTTTCAAGTCCACCTTGAGTATATTTAACCTGTTAAAAATTGCAAAGTGCTGAAATCTGTTTATTTTACTACTTTGAAATACAGCATGTTTCATCATACCACAGGCATGAGTAACTAAAACAGATATTCTGTAAACAAATGCAAGATGTTAAAAGAATTCATCTTAAAGTTGTTAAAGTTAATCTAAATTTTAAAACATAACCTCCCCTGAAAAGCCTATTCTATGAACATTAAGATCAGAGTAGTTTTTAAAACAAAATGCTGTCATTAAAAAAGCCAACGTAATTTCTATTTCAACTGCCTTGCAAATGCCTCACAACTTTATATTTTCTATCACTAGCATTCTAAATCCACATGTAAACACTGAGTCATCCTTTTCTAGCCACCTTGACATTTCTTAATAACAAAATCCTTCCAACATAGCATTCAACTGTGTACCATTATTCTTACTAGTGAGATAAATACTTGCTACTTCCAAAACTACTGATCTTAATATGAATTTCCTAGAATATGGAGTTAAAAATCATAATTGTTATAAATGTCTCAGAAGCCATTAAATGGTGACAGCTGTGACATCATCGTTCATAATTAGGAAATAAAATAGTATATAATAAAAAAAATTTCACTGTTTGAAATGCTTTTATTTTTAAAGTCATATTCCTATTACAGTGTTAAAAATTTAAAACTTTTACTCATACAGTTAATTTTCATCGGATGTGTTAAATATTTATATACTTGCCTCATACTAAATAGGACATATTTCTAGTTCTAAAATAATACATAACACCCACAAAAATAAAATCATATACAACTGTTGTTTCTGAAAACACTTACTTCAGCATACTGCTGACAGTATAAGTGGTTGTGTGGATTAGTCATCATTAGCTCTTCTAAGCAAAAGGCTGCCTTAGCATAGCTGAAAAATGAGGAGTTATCAGTTTTAAAAGTCAGAAATATCATCGTAGCTAAAATAACTTAAAAATAATTTAAAATAACTTAAAACAATGATTGAAAATAACTTTAAAACAATTTTAGTGATGTTAGACATTTTATTCCCAAAATTTAAATAGCTTTACTAATAAAATACTTGTTATGCTAAATTCATAAATACAAATAACAAATGCTTAAATCCTAAAGCAGCTTATGAACAATCAGTAGATACCACCTTCTTAAAACTGGGTCACCATTATGACAACCAAACGTTATTCACAACACAGACTTCACGACCTTGGACTGGGCTACATATAAAATAACATCAAGTCCATTGATCACTGAATTAAATATTCAAATAGCTAAAGTGTAATGAGGAACATTTTATTAAATACTATCTATTCACAAAAATCCTTATTGATACATACTTACTAATATATTCTATTACAAAGACTTTTTATTACTTGTTTGTCAAATACAAAATTATAATGAAGTTATATATTTTTAAACCCATGAAAAATAGATGAAGTTAGTGGTTTTGATATGCACTCTACTATTATTTCATCATGTGGTAAAGGGACAAGCATCTTGCTAAAAACCTGAGGAGAGAACCGCTACAAAGGGTTCTGGAAAAATAGTTTTACACCACATGACTGTAATTCCCCTTAATGTATTTTATATGTTTAAAGTGATGTGCATCCTCAGCATTTATAGGAAATCCTAAAGAACACAGGTGTTACAAGATTTATTCCCAGTGAAAAGGTGGTAATAGTACCTAACAGAAAAAGGCATCTCCAGTTATTTTTGGCATTTGTCACCAATGTACAAAGCTACCTATCTTTACACTAAGTCTGATATACTGTTCAAAATACACATGCTGCAGTTTCACATATATGTAAGTGACTAATAACAGCTACCTTTTATTACATGCTCTTTATGTACCATGCACTTCTCCAGGTATGTTATATGTATTAACTCATTTAATCCTCCCCAAACCCTAGGAAGGAGGAAATTATTATTATCATTTTATAGTTGAGAAGGCACAGAGATGCAAACTGAAACCTAGGCTGTGCCACTCCAGACAGCCTACTCTTAACCACTATGCTTACTGTCTCTATGCACTGCACACAATGAAAAACCATGGTAATGATGGTAGTGATGAAGATGTCAATGATAACATAAAAACAGGTACAACAATCAAACCCAAAGGGCCTCAGAAACCAAAAGCACCCTATAGATGACCTAAATATCACAGCGTTTTAGATTTATGTATACATACTATCATCAAGGATCCTACAGCTGTTTAGTCCTTTTCATTTTTATATCCAAAACGCAGCACTGGTTCTTGACACGTGATAGGTATATAATAAATCACTAAACAAATAACTGAATAAATATCTAGAACAAAAGTATTATGATTACCTATCTAATATCATTCTATGAGAGATGAGGAAAGTTTACCTTAAACACTCAACTTTACCAAAAAGACAGTTCCCTTCTAAATGTGTTCCTTTTATCAAGATGATGCAAAAATTCATATTAATGCTAAGAATAAATGTTCTTACAGATTTAAATAGGCTGAGCACAACTCTCATTCTGGTTCTTATACATCACAGAGTAAGATAAAATAGGCAGGTAGGAGTTTCTACTGAAAACTGAATGCCAAGGTATTTTTCTCAAAATTATTTAGTATCACAAAGAAGAGGGTACCTTTCCCCTGTTTTACAAAGTATAAAATCATACTAATTTGGTGGATAAAGTATAAAATCAAATAAACTTAGAGCTGAAAGAAGCAAAAGACAGTCTAATACAGTTTTCACAGCAGCAGTTCACTCAAGAGTATTAAACCATATGGAAAGTAACTTGAGTGACTATTTCCTCAATTCTCCCAAGAATGGTACCTAGCCAATTTCATTCCAAATGCATAAAAAAGATAATTCATTACATACAATAACTCAATGGTTAGAGAATTAAAATTATTTGAATCTATTTAAAATAACTACTATAGTATGTCAGTGACTAAATAAAGTTTTCCAAGTTCTTCTGTTCCTCACAAAAGCATTTATATAGATCATATTTATCCCTGCATTGCTTTATCAACTTTATGATTTTTCCTTATGGGATATTGATAATTCCATCTGTTACCGAATTTTATAGTTAAGGCTGGACCTACATATAGTCACAATTATAATTAGTTTATATTACTAACTGCTTCTTGCTGATATAACATCTAGTTCTGACTATAAATCAAGGGGAAAAAATCAGGTATCTTTGTTCAAAATACATATTTTCCTTTATAATTTGTATTGGTGGTGCTAATATATACATTTTAACTAATTTTTTATATTTAGAACAAGTAAAATGTCTCAATATGGTCAACTGGTGTGATATATACCACTACAATCACTAAACAGGAACTATAATCAGAAATTTATAAATCAAATTTAAAAATAAGAAGCAAAATTAAATGTAACTTTTTAAAGATATAAAAACACACATGGCAGAATTCCATATCCTCTTTAACCTCTCTAACACAATGAATGGGCTTATATGAACATTCTATTTTGGAAATTTATTTGGAGTAAAAACTCTAGATCTAGAGTAGCAATGCTGCCTGTGACCTATTCTACTTAAAAGAGCTTATAACTACTACTCCTAGGCAGAAAGAATGCCAAAATGATAAATATATCTAGCAACTCCTAATTTGCTACATTTTGCCACTATCCCCACAAAACTGTAGAGACATTCTACAGAAGTTTCCTCTTCTACCAAAAATAAATAAACAACAACAACAAACCTAACTACCACAGCAACTTGCGCAAACAGGTTAAATGAATTAAATGAACAGATTCTGATTTTCATATAGTTTCAAAAAATCTGGAAATATTTCCACTCACCCTAAACCTGAATATTCCCTCTGTGTTCAATTAAAAAAACTAAATGGTTATTTTGTAAATAACTAGCTTTAAGACCAGAAAGAGTTCTGTGATACAAGATAAAAAGGTAGGCTGAACAACTGAAAAATCCCAAGAAATCGAGAAACACAAAGACAGAATAAGTACCTAAAATGTAATTTCTTCTCAGGGGAAATGATAATTTTCTGTCTTTGTATTTCTTGATTTCTTGGGATTTTTCAGTTCATTTCTCTTAAGTATATGTATATTCAACTCTATCTCAAAGAAGTCTTTAGATTCAAAGAAAAACTGAATGTGGCTATTACAAGGTGAAGCTAATAATAATAAACTTAATTATGGGTTAAAAATAGAGTATGATCTATTTTAGAACTAAATACAGAAATATAAGGAATACATACAAAAAAGTAACACCGAGAAAGAAAACAGAAAACTGAGGTGATACATTTATGTAGTTCTTAGAGGACATGAAAGCAATCAAAATTGAAATACATATAAAAATATGAAATTTTTGTAAGTTAAAAGAATCAATGTTAAAAAGATACATATCAAACAAGGATATACTTTTGACAGGACAAAGGTTCATATCATTTATATAGTATACATGTTGCCAAAATAAGCACTCACATCATTTGTATAAAAACCTATTAAAAATTTAGAAAAAGTTTTAACCAATTTCCACTTCACAAAATTTATGAAGACTAAAAAGAATGATAGCAGCCAGTGTTAAGGGGACGCTAATAATTTCTGATGTGAGAGTAAATTTCTAGTGAACAGCATTTACCAAAACCACTAAAAATGAGCATATAATCATGTAATTTTACTTCTAAGAATTAAGACCAGGAAACAAAATAATTAGCATAGCATTATAGCAAAAATGAAAAAACAAAAACAAAAGACCAAGTTTTCCATTCCCGTAGGAAACTGGTAAAGAATACTAGAGCACATTAATAAGATGGAATAATAGAAAGCTACTAAAATATTTATTGTGATAAGGAATGTATGTCAAAACATAACAAAGTAAAAAGAATAAGCTATAAAAGATAATTCTATTTTAGGTTTCTGTTTCAAAAGGTACAGAGGAAAAAAATCAAATATAAATTGGTTAAGAGGATGATCCAATTAGGATTTTGGTCTCTGTCTTTACTCTTTGTTGCATTTTCCAAACTTTCTTCATTAGATATTTAATTTAAAAAAAAATGCCTTGATTAATATGAAGTGTTTTTAAATGCCTTTAATCTCAAGATCTTCAAAAGACACTAAAATATTTGAAATAACTGTCATCTGTTTTAAGGACAAAATAGAACGAATGTTAATTGTTGTACTGCACTCCAAAAATTCAGCTTCATGTTAAACTATATACTGTACACTTTATAAAGGTTGACTTTAAAACTATGAAAAATGGAACACCTGAAATTAATATAGTACTGTATGTTAAATACATGGGAATAAAAATAAAAATAAATTTTGAAAAAAAGCTATGAAAAGTGGAAACATCACCATTTAAACCAAAATGTACTGTATCACTCTCACATACATAAGAAAATCTTGAGTATTTTTACATATGTGATCATAGAATCATACATACATCTATATGCACATAATTCAGGACATAATTCTCCAAAGGAAACAAAAAGAATCTGACAGCTAGAACACAGCTGAGAGAAGAGAACTGAAGAATGGTTCCCAGAATACAATAGACATTCATTAAATGACAGCTATTACTTTTATTTTAGCTTCCAGTTTTACATGCAGATAACTACCTTAATTCTCCATTTCACATCACACACATAGCCCTGGGTAAAGGCAAGAGGTAGGTGCCTTAATTCTATTTTATTTCCTGTTTCAATTATTTATAGTATGAGACTGAGGTTAACTATTCATACACAGTAAAAATATGTGCATGAGAATCTGAGGCTATTCTCTCAGAAAGAAGAAAAGAAACAATGTGATATACTTCAGATTTAGAAGAGCTAAGGGAAAAAAGAAAAAAAATCCTGCCTATAGATAGAGGTTGGCGTTAATGCTGCAATATTAGAAAACTTGCACTAAGACTAGGCTAATCCTCTCACACTGGGATTTCCTCCTGTCACTGCATCAATAAAAAAAGCTAACAAAAACATTAAATATCCAATAAGTAAGTTCCTACAGCATTCAACATTCTTGATTATTCTTGGTCTTTTACCCAGGCAACAGAATGCTTCTAACTCTGGAAGAGTTGATTCTCTTAATACTAAGGCTAATAAATGCATACAATTGACAGAATTTTTAAACAGCAGGGTGTATAATACTCTTTGTATATAAGAACAATTTAGACTCTAAAAATTCACAATTTTGAATCAGTAAAAATAGCCTTAGTTCAGCGAAAGCAGGTCTTTCTAATTCCAAAGAATCCATCTATATTTGAAAGAAAAACTTATTTCTCAAACAAAATAACTTAGCAAAATGCAAATGACTTAATTAAAGCAATTCACATATTACAACCAACAAATTGTTGATTTGTTAGGTTTCATTTATTTATTTTGTTCATTTAAAATGACACATGACTCATAACTTCTCACCAATCCTTCAGAAACCACTACATCCTCTGAACTTCTATAATAGTGATAAAAACTACACTCCTAACAAAATTTATAACTTACTCATGTTCATTGATATAAAGTTCTGCAAGTTCATGCCAGGCTTCTTGGTCTCCAACAAATCTGGTGAGAGGAAAGGGAAAGAAAATAAGTGTGTAGATATTCTGTAAATGAACAGCATGGAGGCAAAAAGCAAAATCAAATGCAAATTCCATTTTAATTAAAAAAGATTTATCAGAATAACAAAACACAATCCTCTTGTAAGACACTCACTGTTCCAGATACTCATTCAGTTCCCGAATGGCCTCCACATTTTTCCCCTGGGCTTTTCGAATGGCAATCTTACGCTTTCTTGCAGCCTATGGGTTGACATTAATAAAGGATTAGGCCCTCATGATTCCCTGGGTTTTTGTAAAGAAGGTAATTTGACTGTGCAAATTATTATCTCAATGCCAGTGAAATTCCATTGTAGAAATACTGCTTACTGGGAGTTTATAAACATACCCCATGACATCCCACTGGGGAATTCAAACATTCCTCTAACAATCACATATGCTTTACTTTTGATGTACACAATGTATGCATCATTTCATTCAAATAAATAACCATCCAGATTCTGATAATTACAAGCCAGCAGGGAATCCTAATCTTTACCCAGCCTAAACTCCTTTACCCTGTCTCATTCATAAGATTTGTATGTTAAGAGATAGAGGGATAGTGGAGATTAGAAAAAAAAATCTCACCATGGCCACTTGAATGTCATTATAAAATACAGCTCCCAATAACTTTTTTCAGTTTTAAGGAAAAAACCTACCTTTAAGTCTTTCAAAAGAATAGCACAGAACTTGAAAAAAATATTTTATAATAAACAAAACTTTAAACTTGCATCTTAAAGTTTTTTAAACAATAAATATAAATATCAGTGCCATTTATGCATTCATCAAATATGCACTAAACATCTATCATTTGACAGGCACTGTGCAAGATAATGAAAATATGGGGATAAAAAAGAATAGATAATTCATTACAGGAGCAATGAAAAAAAGACACATCAAATAAAAAAGACAATGATAGAGATATCTAGGGTGTTGTGGCAACATGGAGGATATCCTAACACAAGCTGTGGCAGAGTGGAGGAGGTGTAAGGGCAGGAAGCAAAGAGGTTCGCAGATGTGATACCTGTACTGAAACAGAAAGAGCAAGTAGACATTAAAAAAGCAAAAGAGGAAATTGTGTGGAGAACAAAGCACAGATGAAGGAACACAGAAACAAAGGCACAGAAGACACCAACAGTATGTGTAATCAGACAGCAACATTGTGTATAATCCAGACTATCTATCTGAGGGGGGAGTTAATAGGGACTGGAGGGCACTATATAAAATATTAAATTTATATCTCTTCCATCTCTATTTAATTCAATGCAGATACCTAACAATAAAACAAACCAAAACTATGGCCAAGTTTATGAATTATGAACATGATTGCGATTGTTTTATACAATACATACTCTATAAAAATGCAGACAAGGGAAGTAAAATGAATGGGACCTCTTTAGACTAGTAGAGCTACCTTTCATAGGTGAAAAAGGTGGAGGTTTTGCTCAAAAGAAGTGAAAGTAAAAAAAAAATCAGAGAAAATCAAGAGATTTCCAATAAATAAGACCATGAGTGATATTTGTAATAACAATGATAAAAAACATGTTAGTAAGAAAAAATGAAATGTGTTAAAATGTATATCCTTGATTATTAAGCTCATGCTGAAGGCTTAATACAATACCTGCCATATGGCAGGTATTCAAATATTTTTGGAATAATTTCACTATGTACAATAATGAACGTGCTATAATAAATGTACCATTTAAAAGGCCTCAAGAATTCAGAAAGAAAAGTAAGAGAAAAGCTCTAAACATAACTCAATCTTAAATACTTGAGGAAGAATATTAGACTTCAAATGAGAGCCTTCTTCCAAGTTCTTCTGAAAACAGGTGATGGATAACACATAACTAAGAAACAAATTTCTTTTGGATATATCATATCTAATGCCACCAATCCAACATCATTTGAAGCATATTTTAACTGTTTATTCCTTTCATCTATCATGATACTACTTCCTCTACAGGCAATATGGTAGAACAGAGTCCATGTTTTAAAATAAAAAAGATAAGAAATAAATACCAACTCTTGGCACTTACCAGCTTTCTAACCAAAGGCAAAATACTTAACCTTCCCAAATGTGCATAATACCCCAATCTCCAAGTACCAATGTAAAGCAACTAACACAGTACACAGTATATAATGGTATTGAATAAATAGTATCTTCCTTCCTTTCTCCTTTATTCTATGCTTAACATTATGTTAAGCATAATACAATTCTACCTATGAGATCTTTAAAAGCCCAGAACAGGTTGCTTCATTTGATACTAATATCTTGTCCAATCTTTATAGGATTTGCACCAGTTGAGATATTACAAAGATGTAATGAAATTTGTTGAAAATATTAGATTCAAATGTGACATATCAGACAAAAGGTCTAAGTATGAACATGAATAACAATGAATACTTCCATGGTAAGAAGTATGGTATGAACATTGTAATGGACAATATAAGTTTCATATATATATTATATATGTACATATATATATATTATATATGTACAATATAAGTTTCATGAAGAAGGGTATACTAAAAACACCCATCTAACTTTAGTTCTTTTTCTTGGTGATTTAACAGCAGAACCATCTCTCTACTGTTGAATATACACTGATATTTTTAGGTCAGCAGCATGCTGCAAAATATAGTTTGTAAAGCACTGCTGTAAGGTTTCAAAGATAATTCATGTTTAAAATGCCTTTTAAAAAACACACCTTTTATAAATGATGGAAAACAGATTTAAACAACTTAAATGCATCGGAAGAGACAGAATTAGGAGTAGAATCTGAAATTTCTGATTCCCATTCTAGAACCTTCTAGACTTCCTGAAAGAATCTGAAATATTACAGGTTAAATAACTGTTACTATTATTTTGAATTATGTGTATTTGTAGTAGGTGAAATGTCATAATTTTATAACAATGTAAAACAAACAGAATTCAGTATTAACTTTGTAACTGAAAGTTTTAAATATAAGGCTTTAATTAACCAATTTGGGAAAAGTGCCCAAAAATCTCTACTATATAAGCAATATATTGATTGATCATGTAAAACCTAAGATATAGCATTTTATTTCCTAATAGTATAAAGTCTAAAACAAACTTTTAAGTGGTAACACTTCAACTAAGGCAAGGACAGTCTTCCTAATTAAACTATGTATGACAGCTTAAAGAAATACCTATGTGGCAACAACTGTCATATAGGCAATGATATATTATTAAGTTATATACTATGCAACAGTCTTTTCCATGTTATTTCTCCTAAAAGAAAAATAATACCACATGCTAGCATAAGAACCAATCTTTTTTTATCATGATAATTTTAAGTGAGCATTAAGCAGGGATTTCATTTCTGGCCAAGATGGGAGTAACAGGGATCAGATTTACCCTCCTGCCTGAACCAATCAAAGAACTCGACTATATACATGAAACAATCACTTTTAAGGCATAGGACAAGAGGCACAGTGATCCCTCAGCGGCTGGAAACAAATGAGGTGAGCCCTATTTTTATTGTCCTGGCTTGCTACCTTGAGGGAGTTTCATGAAATGAATCCTGTGCAGGAAGAGAAAACAGGTTGAGTTCAGCAGACTGTGAGTTCAGGAAAAGGAGCTGAGTATCAGGAAGATCAAAGGCTAGAGCTTATAGACATAGTACTAGAGAAAAAAGAAACAGAATAAGAACTCTAGATTCCCCTTGAATCTAAAGGGTTTTCCTGGAGTATTCAGCCTTGTACTGACCAGTGCATGTGAGTGAAAACACTACCCAAGCCAAGGAAAGAATCACCAGAAAGGCTTAAGGGGAAGTGTCTTGAGCTTACACAGGGATGGGAATAGTGCCTATTCCCACCAACCAGACTAGAAAATGCCATGATTCCTGTGGCAATGGACAGAGTGCCCAGAAGGATGTAATGAGGTATCATTAGCCCTATATACATTGCTCTGAACCTCTCTAACAAAGACCCAAAAGGATCAAATTGCTTCCAAATAACTTGTATACCACAAGAAAGCTCAAGATTATATTACAGGAATACAAAAATGGAAAGGAGTAAAAACTTTTGAAGATGATAGTTTTGTTCACAATCTTGATTGTGTGATGGCTTCACAGGTATATCCAAGTGTCAAAACTTACCAAATTGCACACCTTAGTTAAATGTGTCCAGTCTATTCTACATCAATTGTATGTCAAAACAGTTTTAAAATAGCATTAATTGGACTAAAAGTTAAGTCAAGTCTTGAATATTTATCAATTTCCATTTATTTCTTTTTTATACTTTCTTTCCTAAAAGTATGCCAATGTTCTGAATTTTTCTAAATATCTAGTTTGGAAAAAGCTTTGCAAATGTCAGTTTGAGTCTTAGAAATGAAAACTATTCGGGGCACTTGCATGACTCAGTCGGCTGAGCCTTTGGCTCAGGTCACAATCTCATGGTTTGTGAGTTCAAGCCCCCTCATTGGGCTTGCTCCTGTCAGCCTATCAGCACAGAGCCTGCTTCAAATCCTCTGTCCCCTTCTTTCTCTGCTCCTCCTCTGCTTACGCTCTCTCTCAAAAAAGAAAAAAAAAATAAAAACAATATATATGTTAAAAAAAAAATGAAAACTGTTCTAGGGGTGCCTGGGTGGCTCGGTCAGTTAAGCGTCCGACTCTTGATTTCAGCTTAGGTCATAATCTCAGTTTGTGAAATTGAGCCTGGCATCAGGCTCTGCATTGACAGTGCAGAGTCTGTCTGGGAGTCTCTCTCTCCTCTCTCTCTGCTCCTCTCCTGGCTCGCATGTTCTCTCTCTCTCTCTCTCTCTCTCTCTCAAAATAAATAAATAACCATTTTTTTAAAAAGTGAAAACTGTTCCACTTCACAAGTGATTTTAATAACAGCAGTTAGAAATTTCTATTATAAAATATTTCTATAATAAAATATAAAGTACTGATGACCACCAACAAATCTTCATCAAACTTGCTACATGCTTTCTGTAACACTACATACAAAGAGGCTAGCCAGCAATTCTTCCAGAAACACTTGTCATATCTTAAAAAAATAAGCTACAGTGGGGAAGAAATGCCACCTAGGAAAAGATTAAAGGATTAAGATCTACCAGCAAAATACAATCTAGACTCCCTTACTGCAGATGCTGGGACCTAGGAAGAAACAGACCACTGACCTACAGAAGGAAAGCAGAATTCTAGGTTCTTCCAAGGCTTATGCCCACTACCCTAAGA